CTTCTCTTCTCCAGGCTGAACAGACCCAGCTCCCTCAGCCTTTCCTCATCAGGGAGATGCTCCAGTCCCCTCATCATCTTCATTGCCCTCCGCTGGACTCTCTCCAGTAGTTCCTTGTCTTTCCTGAACTGGGGAGCCCAGAACTGGACACAGCACTCCAGATGTGGCCTCAGCAGGACAGTGTAGAAGGGGAGAACCTCCCTCAACCTGCTGGCCACACTCTTCGTCATGCACCCCAAGATACCATTGGCCTTCTTGGGCCACATGGGCACATTGCTGGCTTATGGTCAACTTGTTGTCCCCCAAGACCCCCAGGTCCCTCTATCGGTCAACCCCCAGCCTGTGCTGGTGCATGGGCTTATTCCTCCCTGGGTGCAGGACCCTACACTTGCCCTTGTTGTTCCTCTCCGCCCAACTCTCCAGCCTGTCCAGGTCTCGCTGAATGGCAGCGCAGCCTTCTGGTGCATCAGCCACTCCTCCCAGTTTGGTATTGGCAGGGAACGTGCTGAGGGCACACTCCATCCCTTCAACCAGGTCGTTGATGAATGGGTTAAACAAGACCAGACCCAGGACAGACCCCTGGGGAACACCACAAACCACAGGGCTCCAACGAGACTCTGCGCCGCTGATCACGACCCTCTGGGCTCTGCCATCCAGCCAGTTCTCAACCCCCTTCACTGCCCCCTCATCCAACCCACACCTCCTGACCGTACCTATGCAGATGTTGTGGGAGGCAGTGTCAACAGCCTTGCTGAAGTCAAGGCAGACAACATCCACCGCTCTCCCCTCACCTACCCAGCCAGTCATGCCATCGTAGAAGGCCATCAGATTGGTCAAGCACGATTTCCCCTTGGTGAATCCATGCTGACTACTCCTGATAACCTCCTTTTCCTCCACATGCTTAGACATGACTAACGATCGGGAATTCAAAGGATTGGAAGAGTTTTAGGTACAGTCCCCCCAAGTCTGGGGTATCAGGAAGCACAAATGCACAAATTCTAAGATCCTAAGGAGTTGGAAAACATGTGTGGAGGTAAAAGCCTGTTCCCCCTTGCCCCTCCTCTATTTCCTAGAAATCACAGGGACATCATAAGGTCAAGCTCAAAACTGCTCTTGCTTTGCAACTCCAGGGCTGTGGAAGGAGCCCACAGGGAGGTGACAGACAAATGCAAGAGGCTGACAGAGGGAGCAATAAAGTGCTGACAGCCTCCCAGTTAATGCCGGTAAGATCTCAAGGTGACTGGAGGGGAATAAAATAGAGAACGAGCACTTTAACAACATCAAAGTCCACCTGAAACTTTCTTGATGGAACATAGTGCAAATAGGAGAAACATTGGTCATGCTTTATAAAAGACAGGGCCTAACCTCAGGCTGCTTGGTGTGGGAGAAGAAAAACGTGAGGACAGCGGAGCCGAACTCGGCGTAAGTCTCTGTGTCCCAAGCATTCCAGGGAAGCTACTCATCCTTCGTGGAGGGAAGGGTCCCTTGTAGTGCTCTCTGGGAAAGGACAAATTATCTGAGCTATACGGTAAGTAAAAACCAACCCCTACACAGCTGCCCTAACTTAAATGCAGGAAAAATACCAGGAATTTTGCCTGGAGTACCACTTCGGGATTCGGCGCAGAAACAAGTCTTCAAGTATACACAGCGTATGGCATCGAGGGACCAGAGAGCCTGCACCAGGCTGAAAGCAGGTCACCTCCAAAGAGGGACGTGACATTTTAAGTTACCCAGGCATTGCTGTACTCTCTTCTGTGACCCCTGGACGTCGCTGCAGATATTGGTCTGTGAGATAAACACAAACACCATCTCCAGGCAACTCTGAACTCTGCAAGGACAACGCAGGAGCCTCAGCATCACTGGATTTTGGCCCCTCGCTTGTCCTTCAGAGCACGTTGGTCCTCTTTGTAACAGCAAGATCTGAGCAGGTCTTTGGCAACTCATGATCAGTGGAAGGCATGGGGATGGAAAAGGTGCACGGGAAAGGGCAGAATCCTGCCGTGGATCTCTGTTACAGCATTGTCACAACAGCACCTATGGGTTTCAGTATGGAGTGAAAAAGGTTAAAGCTCGTCCTTGGCGTTAACAAGATGCTGCAGTGGACGAACTGGTATTGCATGATCACTCAGCAGCTGGTCCTGTGACCCTTCGTGGCTGTCAGGGGGTCTGTCGCCTGAAAAGTCTGTGAGAGTGTAATCCTCCAGCAGCCCGGCTTCTACCGCATGGCGCCGGAGCCCCTCGCTCCCCACGAGCCCTTGCATTCTCACGTACCCCTGCTGACAGAAGGGAGGCAGCTTCTGACGGGTGAAGGCAAAGAGGAAACAGGACTCTGCGGGGGAAAGGATCAAAAAAAACCAGACTCAGTAGAGATACCCGATAGAGAAAAATTCCTGTAAACTCTTAAGGACTCATTCAAAACAAAAGGCAGTGAGGATGAGGGAAGATGACTGGGGTTCCCCACCCAGCACCCTGCCCCGGATGGCAGCAGAGGAATTGACTTAATTCCGCAGAGCTCAGGAGATGCAGGGTGGGATTTCCAGTCTGAACTCTGAGAGGAAAAGGAGCTGGATTTGACCTTGCAGCCCTCTGGCATCTTCTTCATATCACAGGATTGTTCCCTCTGTGTGATACGTGGGGTTCCTGTAGGAGGTTCCCAGACCAGTCTTCAGACCAGGAAGGAAGGCAGCAGAGGCTCTCCAGTCCTCACATCCCAGCACTCCCATTTCCCATGGGAAAGCAATCCCACCATCAGTATGTGATAAGAGATCTGGTACCCGATGGCACAAAGGAATGTTCAGATAATGGAGGAGGAAGGAAAGCTGCAGCTAGAAAAGGGATTGAACCCAACACCTCAGACACCTTTCCCTAAATCCAGGTGTGCCTGGGGCAGTCTCTTTCTGATGGTGAGCAACAGCAAAACTTATTTGGGAACATGCACACAGCACCAGCACTTTTTACCATCTAGGGAGTGCATCAGAGGTGTGACTGACAGTGAGAACACCAGCTCGCCACAGGGAGATCTCGGCTATCTGCAGAAGAGATCGCTCCTGTTGCTTGTCCCTCACATCCCTCCTCCTCCTCCTGTCACTTCGACCCTGTGCTCAAATTACCTGCAAAGAAATTGCGCAGGTCAGTGCCGAGGCAGTTCTCCAAAAACCGCCTCAGTGGCAGGATGTGAGCGTTGGGGGCAGTCCAGTCTGTCAGAAAGTCCTCCACAATGTGATGGATGGCATCTGGGCGGGGGAGAGGCCAATCTGGGGGCCGAAGTCTCATCTCACGCTCTGCCAAGAGAACATTAAGGGAATCTCTCAGAATCAAAATGGCATTAAAAAGAGCTTGGGGAGTGGAAAGCAGCTACAACAGCTGTTTCATCTTTTGTCCTGACCTTTTAATCCCTACCTTACTTTCAGTTGCAATCCCCTCTGCTAGCTCTGTCCTCAACAGCCCTGCCACTGCACAGCTGCCCCTTGTCCCTGCCCGCAGTATTCCTGTCATTTCACTCCTGTTCCCCCCAGGCAGGGACTGCCAGACGGGCTGAGCTGCGTTCAAGCTTTAATGCTGCTACCCATCACGCTTCTTTCTGTGCAAAGCAGGCTGAACCCTGACCCTAGGTTTCTGGAGATGAGGATTCAGAACAGTCATTTCCCAAGGAAATATACTCTGAGCATGTTTGTTTGCTGGGTATAACACTCATCTTCAAACCCTTGCCTTTGGCTGCCCCCATCACTGTGTGACCTCTCAGACCTGGGCTGGCCACAGACAGCAGCTTTCTTTTGGCAGTAACACTGTACAGCCCAGCCTCATCTGCTGGGACTCTGCAAAATACATGCGGGGTGCCAGTCAAAGGGAAGTAACGTTTCTCTTTTTGGGAATGCAGAAATTTCCATCACACCTGTTTGTTCTTGTTCTCAAATGTGAGGTCTCTGGTACAACCTCCTCACCCCACACCCCGTACTGGTCTGACCGATGGAAACTTCTTGCCAACTCCCAGCTTTTTTTTCAGCTCACATAGTGGTGGCGGTTGCCCCAGAGGATGGACATGAAGGAAATGGAAGAGAGGGGTCTGCAAGGCCTTCAGGTATCCACCCCTGTCTTTGGCTCTGAAATATCTTCATCCCTCTCTGTTTTGCTTGTATTGGATAATTAGCAGGAAAGCTTACCTGTTGGGAGGCGTTTGTAATAGTAAATAACAGGGTGTAAAAAGTTGGACTGCCAGGCATGCTGTGCCTCTCCCACAGCTCGGTTGTAGTAGAAGACATCCTTGTCAGCCCCTGAGAAATTCCTCCCGTACTCCATGATGATGACAAACAGCCCACTGGGAGCCTTTCTCCCCGTCTGCATTTCCAGCTCGGCCAGGACTCCAACCGGGTACTCTTCCAGGTATTCAAATGCTGTGGAATTCCTGTGAATTGCAACCACAACCATCAGACTTTTCCACCAGAGAAAAGCCAGCTGGGATCCAACACTCTCTTAGCTGGTCGAGGCTAAGGCCAAAAAGCCATCAGATAGTAATTATTTTTGGTCATTACAGATCTGGGCTGGACTTGACACAGAGCTTATGAAGGCTGCAGATACTGTTACAAGACTCCATTATTTTCCTGGATTATGGGATTTCTTGCTACATTAGCACTGCTCAAGGAAAGCTTTTCCATGGGGGCAGTAAAAGGGTACTATACCCCTGACCGTAGAGGGAAGGTCTGGACCATTTCAGCCCTTTAAGAGAGAGAAGTAATTGGCGGAATTGGGCATACTGGCACCAGTTGCGGCAGTGGTACAGGTCTTGAGGTGGTCACCTATGTGACGGTAATGTCCTTAGGCAGCAACGGAGCAATCTGCGTGGTGGCACCACGGGAAGCAATGGTAAAGAAAAAGGAATGAAACGATGGAGTGCAGTGGTGGGAATAATTACTCACTCACTCACTCTCTCAGCAGTATGATGTCAGCCAGGACACTGAACATCTGGTAGAGGCCCGAGGCCTCGTTCACCCGCTTGATGATGGAATTGGTCAGCTGTGTAATAGGGTAGACTGTGGATGGCCAGGGGACACCATGGTGACGGTTTTCCAATAGGCGGTGGACTGCACGAGCTAAGGCATTGAGAGAAAAAAAAGACAGCTTATTTAAAAACCCCAACCTTACGCTTTCAAGAAATCCGATCGCTCTGCTGCGGCACACACAGATACTGGCTGGACACAATAAATAAGCTTTACAGCTCATCCGTGCTCAGGATCTCCCACCCCAATCACTGGTAACTGCAGTGGAGATGCCCTCTGAAAGCTGATGTGATGCTAAGTGGTTGGTGAGGAGGCAGGGGGTCTTTGGGGATATTTCATTACTTCTGAGTAGTCCTTTAACAATAAGGATGGGCACATGCACATAAAGATGAAAATTCTTTCTACTGCCCAAAGCCGCTGGGTTTTAACTCCAGAGCACAGACCTCTCACCCACAGCCTGTCACGAGGCAGAGCAGCTGGCAGGCAGAAATCTAATGTGTTACATAAATAAGAGACAGTGGGCAAGAGAGAGAAAAGACAAAACAAAGACAGACAACCAAAAACTTCAGATATGACCCCAAGTCACTTCTCCTCCACTTCAGACGACACAGCTGCAGCTTGGCTGTATTTTGTCGTTCTTACTGCCACCAGAAGACTAAGGGTAATCTCTTTCCAGCAGTAAGGTGTGAGTTGTTCCTTCGAAGAGAGGAACAATTCCCACCTCTGCCCTTTCTGTACACCCCAGTACTCACTTGTATACCGGAACCCATGGATGAAGCCCCCAGCAGATTTCCTGAAGTCAACAGAATGGCTAGCAGTGCCGAGAACAAAGAGCCCCCGCGTGCCTCTGGACTCGTAGCTGGGTTTGATCTGAGGATACTTCTTTTTATTGCCTTTTCCTGGCATCACTCTAAGGGATCTGATGTGCAAAAGAGAAGGGCAGGCTGTCAGGAAGGATGGGGGTGGAAAAATAAAAAGGGTTTCTGATAAGGCACACATTACATTCCAGCCACGGCAAGACACTGCTGCATGCCCCCACTGCCTTCAGTGGAATTTACTACTACAGCGAGGATCTTCCAGAAGACAAGGGTGCTCATCTCAGGGTAGCTCTGGACAAGATCAAATTCCAGCCTGAGCCACTGACAGTGAATTTTGCAAGACAGTGAAGTTAGCAGTATCATTTTCAACTGCACGATGTACTAGGAGACAAACCAAGGTGGAGTGAAGGTTGCAACCTCAGGGAAAAATAGCAGACAAAACCTTTCTGTAGCTATCTGTACCCGTGGCATCCTCCTTCCAAAAAAACCACCCAAAACACAAAACGTTGCTAGCCTTCTCCATGTGATCTGGCAGGTCAGTATGTTAAGTTCTAAAGCCACAAGTCTTTCTGTGTCACCCAGGTCCCAACATTGCCATTTGGTCAGCCCTAGAGCCTGTCAGTCAGAGGGCAGCAGCACACACGTTCCCACTGGGACACAGCAGTAGCTGCAGGGTAAACAAAGGACTGTGCAGCACCAGGTAGTTCAGAGCACGTGGAGGTCCAGACAGTGCTGCCAGGAGAGGACCTGCACTTCCCTTTCCTCCCTACTCAGGCCTGTCACTCTAATACCTGCTTCCCTGGAGATCCTGGTTCTCCCTCACCTGTTGTAGATAGAGAAATCAAACTTCCAGCCCAGGCAGCGGATGACACGGTCGTAAGGTGCACGGGTGGCAAAGTTATCCAGTTCATCCTGCGGGAGGGTGATGGACTCAATGCCTGCGCTGATGTTCCTGTTCTCCAGGTAGAATCTGAGCGTGATGTGCAGCTTTCCTTTCTTGTCCTTGATGATAGCCAGATCTTCCAGGTTGCCCTCCAAAAGCCCATCCAGAGATTTCAGCTGGTAGGTGTCCAGCAGGCCGTTGTTAATTGCTCTATGAAAAAAAGGAGAATGTAAGAAGAGCTAAAAGAAAGGAGAGATGGGCTCCACACTTCTGTCTCAGCTGCTGAAAATGGGACACCTTTACCAGGGATCCCATACTCCGCTTCAGTGCAAACGTTCTCCCCAGAGCCTCAGGGCTCACAGGAACAGCACAGGTAACACAGCCTTGCTGCCCTTGCAGGATGTAGTCAACCTCTCAGCTCTCCTCTGTGATTGCAAGCAAGTGAACAACTTGGGAGCCAGCACTTTTTAATGATGGTCTCTAAGGGGACATTTTCCAATTTCACACAGACCCCAAAGAGATCTCATCTAACTCCCGCATTCAGCAGCTGCAACCTGGACTGCTTTAAACCAAAGACCTAAAGATAGAAGGCCCCATGTTTCCTCTGCGAACCCCAGGACCACAGCACTTCCCATGCCAGTCCAGCTCATCACCTGGGCAAGAAGTGATTCTCCTTGTTTGTATTTCAGCTGTGTTAGAAAGAGGAAGAGGAAAGGTTTCCTACCTCAGATCCCCGACGTAGTGGGTGGCCCACGAGAGGCGTACACGGGACCGGCTCACCATGTGGATAAAATTCGTGACGCCCAGAATGTTTTCCGCCGTCTCAAAGGCTGAGTTCCCTCGGCCCAAGATCAACACAGTTTGGCCAGCAAAATCCTCCGGGTTGATGGACACAGTCTCATAACCCTCAACATATTCTGAGCCAGGAAAGTTTACCACGTTGGGGACCCACGTCCCAGTGGCAACCAACAAAGAGCTGCAAAAACAGGGATAGCACTAGGGAATGCAGGAATTACAGGAATGGGACCATCGTTCCATCTCATCACTCCTTCCTCCTCCTGCTGTGGAAGATGGCTGTGATGTTCCTCCTGCAGCGACGCTGGATCAGCTGCACAGGTCATGGTTTCAAAAGAAAGCTCTCCCCAGCTTCACCTAATGACCTGCTCCTCTCTTCCCTACCCTCAGGCCAATGAGGACAACTAGAAACATCGTTATATGGAGCAAAAGTCAGTGTGGGTGCTGTACATATATGTTTCCCTCCATTGTTCATGAATATGCAAGTATTACTGATATGTACTCACTGACAATGTGTACAATGCTAAAGTTTCACAGGTTGATTATAAGTAGCATAAAAAATCACTTTAAAATTTGTGCTGCCTTTTAGTACAGCAGAACAAAAGTAGTTTTTAAGAGGGATAGGAAATGGTTTTGATATTTTAAAATGTAACTTCTAGTCATAAAAACAGGTTAGCAACATCACTAATCGTTAATGCTAAAATGAAGTACAGTAATCTTTTTATATCTCTCCAGAAGACCTTACTTGAATTTTAGGGAAATTTTTGTGACTTAGACGGAAATACCAGGCAGCCGAGGCTAGCGGCACTGTCTGCTGTCCCAGCCTTACTCATGCAGCTCCTGAGAACAACTTGCTTGTGGTGCGTGGGTGGCCGGGATTGCCTTCTGTCCCCTCTGAGCTTGCCAGCCAGCGTATCTCCAAGTGACAGCCAGCACGACCTGCTGTCGTAGAGCTGAGGTTCTCAGCAGAGGTGAGAAATATACTCCATACGTTCACACAAGTAACTTCTAGGTTTTTAGGAATGTAGCTCAGTGGTAGTACGTGATACACACACGTAAGTATGACAAGGGAAAGGGGAATTCAGGGACCAGTGGGCCTTGAGGGTTACTTCTCACAGGTGGCTCCCTCTACTGCAACTAGCCTGGGGCTTCAGCTGGGTGGGCCATGCTGCTAAACACGTGTGGGTTAACAGAAATGAGGTGTCGTCGCACCGACTCAATCGAGTTTGTAACAAAGGCAGCAGAGGCTACAACAAGTACAACTGTATTAATTTTTATCCAGTGATAAACCAAAAGTGACTGCAAGCTTACCTACCAAGGATGGAACCTACGGAGATGGCAATCGCAGCCAGTTTGTATCTGCTCTGCCAGCTCCTCAGCTGTCTGGGGCATAAATGTTGCTTGCGAAAGGCAACGGCTTCCCAGGAGCAGTTATTCTACTCACCCATCCCACCGATCCCTGCAAAATGTTCTTCCCCTGTTGCGGTGGTTAAGGCTTTAAAAGGCCGTGAAATCTCCATCCTTGGAGTTACTCACACCTCAACAGGGCAAGGCTCCAAGCAACCCGACATAGCTGGCCCTGCTTTGGGCAGGGAGCTTGGACAAAATGACCTTTATGGGTCTCTTCCAACCTAATTTATTCTGCGATTTTATGACTTCAAAGATGCCCACGGCGAGCGGTGTGGCTAGCCCCGTGTTCGCCCATTACCTGCACTTGTAGTTCTGCCTATCCTGGTCAGTCAGGAGGAAGTAGTGGCCATTCCAGGCCTGTTCGTCCCTCTCCAGCGTCACGTGGACGATGGCCGTGTTGTACTGAACCTGCAGCTTCAGCAAGGAAGCAAAATCCTCCAGGTAACGCACCATCGCGTCAGCGTCGGGGAAGAAGTCGCGGGAGTAGCGTCGGAAAAGCAGCCGGCGGTCGTGGCTGAGAAGCGAGTTCCAGTCGTGGCGCAGGTTGAACTCGGCATTGGATTTGCCCGTGTACCGCTTGTTGATGCTGATGAGCTTGCGGTGGCGAGGGTAGAGGGCGAAGAAGCTGCCAGGAGCATGGCTGCGCTCAAAGACAACGTAGTCCCGGCCGGCTCGCTGGAGGAAATAGGCCGCCTGCAAGCCTGAGGGGCCGGCCCCGATGATGCAGTAGTCATGGTAGAGAAAAGCAGCACCGCTCACCGCACATAGGGCCAGCCCCAGGAGCGTCCCGCA